AATTTACAACTGAGAGATTTACCTTTTGTCAAATGTAAACAAATTAGGATCGGTGGTAGTTAGGCACAATCGTGTTTCTGTGTTATCCACTGTAACCTTAAAGGAAAAATTTTCACAATACAGAAATCTTGCATTGGAGAAAGAGATTAATTACTGCAATGTACTTCTAAAGCGTTAGTACATAAGGAAAAAGCAACAACACCAACAGAGACAATACGCAAAATGTAAAATGGCAAAATGAATTGAAAATAAAATCCTATGTAGATCTAAGTTGACCAAACTTGTCGACATCACCAAGATATCAGCATTCCCATGATATGAAATTTCAGCACAACTAGTACACATGTGAGTATGTGAGTATACGTGTGTATGGTGAGAATTTCCACGTGCTTGCTGACCTTTCTCTTTCCTTTTCGACTCTGTAACTAGACCCTTAAAATACAAAATTAATGATMTTGTACCTTCACTGCTGGCATTTGATAGCTATCCACATCTGACCAACTGGTGCTCATGGTTTGCGGTTTGAAACGAAAGGAAAAGCTTTGTCTTTGATCCTGTTGATTGTCACAGATTCCTCTAATCGTGATTGTTTTACCACGAGTTATGTCTTGTGTCTTCAGTTCAACATGGCATTTGTCAACTGCAGCTTGTCTTCTTTGTGCTTTGTACTTTTGGGGTATCAACACAGACACCACTACACTGTCAGATCCAGGGACATTCATKGTGGGTAAAATAGGAACAGTTGGYCTTAAGGTAACTGTTATGTTCTCTGCTACGTTGCATTCTTTGACAATCACGTGACGTGGAGAAACCTGGCAACATTCACAGAGCATTTACAAAGCAATTAYATATCACTCACACAAAAAGAAACTATAAGCTGGAACTAAGCTACCTCGATTCCCACGTAGTACTGATTACTGTCTTTTCCTGTTGCTGTCCATTTATTTGTCTTTTTTGTAGAGAACTTCATGAAAAGTTTACACCATACCTGTTTGTAATATATTAGACAAATACCAGAAAAAGGTAAGCAATAGCACCAGGAGATAAGTCAAAACGATAAAGCCACTGGCTAAAATAACAATTTTCTATGTTGCCCCTCTCCCCCTCCCCCTCCCCCTCCCTACCCCCTTCCCCTCCTCCGGGTTGGAGTGACGATATAGAAACATCAATCAATCACTCCCCCTGGTTCCGCGTTAGATGTCGTGACAATAAGTTCATTTGACCAAAGATAGGACTGTGTTCAAGCCACTAAATATCCCTTTTTTTGCGATATCATTCAATATATATATTCGCTATATGACTTATATAT